AAAAAATATTTTTTAAAATAGAATTTAAATAAAATCAAGTAAAATATATTATCTGACATATTTTTATGTTCGAAACAAATAAATAACTATAAAAAAACACAGGAACTGAAGAAAATATTTAAACTGTAAATAAAAAAATAGATACAATAAAATCGAAAAAAATTTTATTTTACTTTATCCATGAAATTTTCATTTTCTGAAAATGAATCTGATCGACGAGAAACAATGTTAAACTTCGATTATTTTTTATTTTTTATTTGTTGAAAATCGTCAAAAATGTTCGAAAACATCATGAAAAACTCATTTGATAGAAATTTTTATTCTTTAGAAAGAAAAAATAGTAAACGTTTATTTTTTAAATAAGTTTCTCTTCTCGATGATAAATTTGAAAAAAATCGATTAGTTCTGCTAATCAAATTCGATTATAAATATAAAGTATTGACTATCATTTGTTAAACAATATATTCAAGTCTTATGATTGTGTCTGTCAAGTGAAAAATCCTCCGAACAAAGATATGTCAATACTTTCTATTGAATCCGTTTTTGAAACTAATCTATGCTCCATTAACAGTTTCATGAATAGTCTCATTAAACAATAAATTAAAGTCTGAAAAAAATCAAATTAGACTTAAAGCGAAACAATGAAAATGTTTTGATAGTTTAAAATGAAAAAAAAACCGAATATCATAAGTCTCTAAGAACAAACATCTTTTGTTTTGTTTTCTAATTTTTGCTTGAAAACTTATTCTACAAAAGATTTTTTTCTAAAATTATGGAAGATCACGCACTACAGAATTCGGCAGATAATCTCGGATTATATTTCAAATATTGACACAATTGTTATGATAAAAAACGTTTTCATAATTGTTTTATTTTTGAGACAGTTACAGTTAAATCTCTATTGATTCTTTTGATTTTTTGTCGATAGGAAAAATTTCTTTTAACAAAAAGAAACAGAACTATTTTTTTTAGAACAAAAGACTTTCTATCAAATAAGTTTAGAATAATCTGATTAGAGCGAGTTGTCTGTATTTAAAAGAAAGAAAAAATATTCGGTTTTTAAAAAGTATTATCCATTAAAATAAGAAAAATGTTTGTTCATCGATTATTTTCAATATAGATAACCAGTAAGTATTTCACTGTATAGTGTGATTAAATGGATTATAGTTGAAATTTTTTTTATCTTTAATTTTATTTTTATTAATCTACTCTTGTTTATATTGTCTCGATAACTTTCATTGATTATAGATTTTTAAAATAACATAACAAAAAATATATTGATTATATATATAGAGATTATTTAATGATTATTTATTTCAAAAGTCGAACAAATATAAAAGACAATATTGAATTTTTTCTATAATAAAAATATTTTTATTTCAGAATAATAAATAAATTTTATTTATTTATTATTAAATCTGATTGTGATGTTTGTTCTCTTTGTTTTTTCAATGATAATATAATATTTGTTTGTTTTATATTGTTATTGAATAAAAAATTGGATTAATAAAATAAAACATTGAAGAAAAGTTAACTTTGTTCTATATCGATCTGATTAGATTCTCATATAAAAAAGTTCGATTATTTAAAAGATAACAAAGCAAAATAAAAAAAAAAAAAATAATGTCAAGTATCAATTTGTTTTTTTTGTTATTACAGTTTTAAGTTTGAGATTAAAAAAAGAATATTTTATTGTTATATTGAAGAACAGATGATCATTTTCACATAAGAAAAACCATTATAAATATAAATCTTCTTTGAAATAAAATTAAAAAAAAATGAATAAAATATTTTTGTTTTTTGTTTCTTTTTTGGTTTAATATGTTTCATTTTTGTTGTTGTTGTTGATTAAAGTGACTTAAGTTGAATATATTATTTGTAGATATGTTTCGATTGAATTCTTCAATATTAATAATATTTATTTTTATATATTCAATAAATAGAAGTGTTGAAACAATAAATGAATTAATTGAAAATAGTGTTGAACATTTATTTTCATTATGGACAATTCCTTGTTTGGAATGGTTACTTGTATTTACAAATGATGCTGTTTGGTATCATCCGAAATTTCCTGATGGTTTAAAATATAATCAATTATTAGATTTTTGTCAAATGAATCAACAAACTAAACCAGCATTATTTCGTCAAGATGGTCAAATAAGAGTTACAATAAGTGGTAATACAACATCATCGTCTTTATATCATGTCATCGTTCCTTATGTTTATGGACAAATTCAAAATGATAATAATAATTCATTATTTATCAATAGTGGTTATGAATATATTCAATTAGTTAACAATTCGAAAAATCAACTTCATATTAATATGGTTGTCGAATTCTTTAATCGAGCTTCATTACCATTCGTTTGGCCACCAAACAATTAATTAATAACACTTATAACAGGTTTTTTTCTTTTATTATCATTAAATAAAGGAGACGTTTATTCATTAATATTCTTTCTGGTTAAACATAACAAAAATCAATACAAAACGAAATTTCAATTATTTATTAAATAAGAATATCTAACAAGTTGTTTTTCCTTCTCTTTTGTCAATATGAATGCGATTGACCCAAAAATTGAATCAATTTCAAAGTCATCTTTGAAATATCCCAAATAGATTTACTAAAACATGTTCATTTATTCTTCAGTATAGTGAAAGATGCCAAAGAATTTTTTCTAACTACTCAAATATCTGATTGAAAAAAGTGAGTTTAATCTAATCACTTCGAAAATGATGATAGCAATAGCTGTTATTTACTGAATAAAAAGAAAAAAAAAGGTAAAAGGATGTTTCGAAATTAGACTGAACCAAACTTAGTCTTTATTATTCCAAATATACTACTGGCTAAAACTATTCCCCCTCAGATCTTAGTCTCTATGAGAGCTAGGCGTTTGAAAATTCGTCTACAGGTATTTTACAAAGAAAGTAGATCAACGGTACCATTATAACCAAAATTGAACAAACTATAATAGAGTTATAATAGGTGACGTGCATGATCACTGTGGACTTCGTAACTCGAAAATAGAAAGATATTTTTAGTTGAGTAATCTCTTATTTTATAGCCTTGTATTATAGCTATTTCTAGTATAAATTTTATTGAAGTCTATCAAATTGTTGATGAATTGAATCATTTTTACTGAAAACATTCATCTATACAAAAACAATAGAATGACATTGAAAACTCAATAACTCAGCAAGAGTTTGATGAATCCATCTGAAATTCTCAAAAGATATTTCTCTATGAATGATTATTGTTTCTTGAAAATCTCAGAAGCAAACACTTCACCAAACGAAAATGACACATTGATAAACATCGCGAACTTGTCATGAGTCTGTAGTCTCAATTACTTAAGCAAATGAGCTCATCTTTGAAGCAATGAACAGCCATCAGTTGTGCTTCGATTTCATGCTAAAAGATCGATAATTACTCATATATTAGCTGAAAATCAGCATAAAATTTCGTAAATCTATTTTTTGCTATTTTCCTGCCAAAGCGGGAAAATGTCTTCGGATATCAATATTTCACTTGGAAAGATCATTTCAGACGTTTCGAAGTTTTTAGAAAGTGATACAAACCAGCTGCCTGCATCAGAGTATGAAATATTGACATTGAAATTGCTGATAATTATAATAAAACTGATATAGATAAGTGATAGTATTCCTATTCTTTAATAACTGCCTTCTAGCGTCTTAAAAGTATAATATTTATCATACTATTATAAAACCGATTGATTGTATAATATAATTTCATATGAAGTTCTAGCGTGAAATTGGCTAAATATCTGAAGTAGGATGATTTCTGTTATTCAATAAAACTTCGAAACGTCTGAAATAAGTTTTCGAGATGAAATATTGACATATGAAGACATTCACTAATCGAGCTTCTTGGATCTATTCTTTCCAGATTCTTATTTTTCTTGATCGGTCAGGCAATCTTCTTTTTAATTGTGAATGTCAGAGAAGATTCTTTTGACAGAAGAGAAAAAAAGATTGTTGCCTGAAAGTCAAGATAAAAAGAAACGTGACTGAGTACCAAGAAAAACAAGAAGCTGGAAAGAATAACAAGATATTTCGAATTTCTCAAAAGTCAAACAAGATTATTTTGGTAGGAAAGGAAAGAATATTCTTGACCGGTGTTCAAGATAAAATGAATCTTGACTGATCGATCAAGAAAAACAAGAATATGCAAAAAATTACAAGATAATTAGAATTTCTTGAGGTTCTAACAAGATTCTTATAACAGAACAAAAAAAAATTCTTGCCTGAACTTCACAACGTATCGCATCCCAGGTCAAAAAATCTGACATCAGATCTTGATAGATCTTGTCAGATCTTGCACATACAAGATTTTTTATATGATCTTATAACAGAATCCGGCAAGATCGTATAAGTTGATTTTTTGTAAGATTTGATCAGTTTCTGATTGAAAGATGTCAGCAAAAAACTTGCAAGAAT